AGAACCTCACCATCATCACACTGGTGGTTCTGGACACCCACTTGTCCCGGCTTCCCATGTATATCCTGCTGAGCAATTTCTCCTGGCTGGAGATCTGTTATGTGACCACCACTGTACCCCGGATGCTCTTTGACATGGCATCCCCTTACGGGATCATCTCCTTCAATTCCTGCTTCCTTCAGTTCTACCTCTTCTTTTCATTCGGCAACACCGAATGCTTATTCCTCTCCACCATGGCCTTGGATAGGTACTTGGCCATCTGCCATCCACTGCGATACCCACAGATCATGTCCCGCAACTTCTGCTATGTCTTAGTGGCCACCGGTTGGGTCATTGGTTGCCTGTGGCACATTATCCCCGTGGTTTTGATCTCCAGGTTGTCTTTCTGCGGTCCCAACATCATTGACCACTTTTTGTGTGACCCTGTGCCAATCTTGTCTCAGGCCTGCCCTCCACTAGGCATCGCCCCCATTGTGTACAAGACTTTTATGAATGCTGTTGTTATAGGCAACGTCTCTTTTGTGGTGCTGTCCTATAGTGTTGTGACGTTCACCCTGTTGAAAGCCTCAAACCAAGGCAATCGCAGGAAGGCCTCCTCCACCATATCTTTACACTTAGTGGTGGTGACGCTTTTCTACGGTTCTGTGGCAGAGATGTACTTAACTCCAGGTGGAGAAAAGCAGTCAGAGGTCACTAAGGCTGTGACACTTTTCTACACTGCGGTGACGCCCTTTCTCAACCCCCTGATCTACTGCCTCAGGAACAATCAGGTGAAAGAGGCGCTGGGCAGGTTGCTGAAGAAAAGGGAGAGATTGCAGAGGAGGACCATGACAGTGTAAAAAGGAGGGAAAGAAAGAAGAAACCAAAGTTGAAAAATCCAACTAGTACATGGGCTGTGGTCACACAGAGCATTAGCCACGCAACAGGGACAGAAGATAGGTGGATTATCTGGGCGCGATCTCACCGCCACATCTGGGAAGCGTAGAGCTCCCGTGGCTCACCCGAGGCTTCCCTCCGAAGATGCGCAGTTAAAAACTAATACCTCGGAGGTACTAGTTTCCGGAAACCGCAGGGCAAGGGCGGGCGTCTGATTATGTTTCCGGTGGCATCCGGCGCCCGCCCATGCCCCATTGTGAAAAGGTTTTGGTTTTTTCGAAGTATCCAGGAATGCGCACAAGCACCCAACGGAGCATGCGCATACTTCAGCTTAAAAATACCCACAACCTCATTTGCCGAGCCGTGCCTTGGTGCGTCGTGTGATCAGCACCTCCCCCCTAACCACCATGCCTGATCATGCAGTCGCGCATTATTTCGCTGTGGGGCAAACAGCCACGCCTCCCCCCCCCCCGCGATATCCGGCCCGTGTGGCCGGGGCCATGGAACACCTCTCTTTTTATGAACCCAGCTTTGGTCTTCTAGCCAATCTCATCTTTCAGTCCATCCCCTTACCATGGTTTGGGTGGGTTAAACATGAGATTTTTTTTTTGCTGCTGCTGCTGGTGGTGGTGGTAGTGGTGGTGGTGGCTGCCATGTCAAGGTGGCATAGGGTTGCTAGTCCCCCCCGGAGGAAGTAGGGGATCCCCTGCCCCCTACCACTGATCATCTGGCCAGTGGGAGGGTTTACCAGGAGAGGGAGGGAGGTCCACATTGCTGGTGACGTGGTGGTGTCAGTTTCAGGGTGGACCGGAAGTGACATCATCGCATTGGCAACGTTGCAGTGACGCTTTGGTATCTGGGCAAAAATTCTACAGTAGAAGCCATTTCCACCGTAGAATTTTTGCCCAATTACCAGAGCATCACTATGACATCACAGTGTGATGATGTCACTTTTGGTGCAAGTACAAGGATGACCCCTCCTCAGTTTGGGGACCAGGATAAGAGAGCCAAAGGAGGAGGGAAAGTGGAGCTCTCTAAAGTGATCTCCCTTAGTTTTCCAAACTGCAAATACTAGCAGTGGATGGAGAGAAGGGGAGCAGACTGGGCCACAGGGTGGAGGAGAGCGGGGTCAGTCCTCTACTACATGGCCCAGGCTAGCCCAATCTTGTCAAACCTCAGAAGCTGAGCAGAGTCGGCCCTGGCCAGTATTTGGATAGGCAACTTCCAGGGAATACCAGGAATACCAGGGTCGTGACACAGAGGCAGGCAATGGCTCCATTCAGCCCACAAACTTCTGAACATCTTGCCTCAAAAACAAGTCTAGATCACCACCTAGTGGTGCATAACGCTAAAGAGCTAGAACTTCTGGCTTCCAGACAATCTTATGATCTCCTAGCTATACTGCACACACTGCCATAGGATGATTATTATTATTATTATTATTATTATTATCATCATCATCATCATCATCATCATCACCATCATCATTATTATCATTATTATTATCATTATTATTATTATCATTATTATTATTATCATTATTATTTTAGAAATGTCATCGTTTTATGTGAAAAATTCATACTTGGTAGATGGTATTTAATAAGGAGATCAATAACGTCCATTTCAGGGGGGGAAATGAGGTTTGGAATATGGCAAAGAGACAATGATTATCATTATTTCACTGCTAAGGTAGCAAGGTTTTGTGCTATGGCCATCCTAATCAGACAGAAGACTATTACTTCTTGGGATATTTTAAAATTCACTTTGCCTTATTTAACATGTTTATCTGTATCAACTGTCTGGCTGTATTTTTGCTGTTAACTATATGTAACATTTTAAGGTATTTGCTGATCTCTGATCGTAATAAATCAAATCGAATTATTATTATTACCATGCACCCAGTTTTCCTAACCAAAGCTATCTGCCTTGTGGGGAGAAGATGCAGATGCCCAAATAGTGCCTGTATATCTCTCCCTGAGGGCAAATAGCTGTCCCAGACAGTGATCAAGACTGTGAAAATGGCGCAGGCACAAGGAAAGGGGTTCACCACACAGAGAGACACACTGAAACAGCCCAGAACCCCCTTAGGCACTCTGAGATCTCACATGTAGTCTGACCCACCAGCCTGAATAAGTTAAGGGAGGACGTATGATACAAGGAACCATATATGTTATAAATAAATAAAGCATATATCATGTAATAAATACAGTAATGGAGGTTGTCTGTTGCTTTTTTTGTGGTCAGCCTCAACGGTGTGATTTTCGTGTATTTTGTCACTGAAATACAACAAAATCAATGCGATGCGAAACCATCGCCCCCCCATGTTCATTTTTGTATACTGTCCGGCATCGATGCGTCATAAGAGGGGACTCAGCTCCCTTCAGAGTTCAGAGCTAGCACCTGCAAACTGATCTTTCAGAAACAATCAGAGAATAACTCTATTGTCTCGGAGCTCAGATTCCACCTCGCAGCATCCTGTCGGCCGCTCCCCAAAAGCTCGTCACAAATATGAGAACGACTGGTTTCTCCTCCCTGGGACCCCTTTTGAGCCAGAGAGGATAAGAAGAGGTATGGTCTATAGGGGGGGAGGGGAGTACTGGTGGGGGGGGAGTTACCGAACGTGGGATCCTAGGCCCCCAACCCCAACGGCTGTGCCCCCGCTGTGCCTGGGTAAAGCCCTGGTTGCAGTTAGGGAGTTCCCCATTCCTAGACCAGGTACAGTTACCAATCTCCTGGTGGGTGATGGAGATCTCCCGGAATTATGGCTGATCTCCAGACTACCGAAATCCAACCCCCTGGAGGAAATGGCTGCTTTTGGAGGGTGGACTCCATGCTGCATTCTTTTCCCTCCCAAACCCACCACCCACCACGAGTTCCAACAGACTAAGGAGCCTTTCTCCATCTTCAGCAGCTCTAATAACAATAATTGTCATATGGCCTTGTGTGTAGCATAGCCAGGAGATCCTGATTTGTCTGGCATCCAGACGTTCTAGCTCTTTTAGCGTTATGCACAACGAGCATAACTCCTTGCTCCTTGGGAGGAAAGCGATGGCAAACCTAAACAGCATGATAAAAAGTAGAGACATCACCCTGCCAACAAAAGTCAAAGCAATGGTATTCCCAGTAGTCATGTATGGCTGCGAGAGTTGGACTATAAGGAAGGCCGAGTGCCGAAGAATAGATTCTTTTGAACTATGGTGCTGGAGAAGACTCTTGAGAGTCCCTTGGACTGCAAGGAGATCAAATCAGTCAATCCTAAAAGAAATCAACCCTGACTGTTCCCTGGAAGGCCAGATAATGAAACTGTAGCTCAAATACTTTGGTCACCCAATGAGAAGGGAGCACTCACTGGAGAAGACCCTGATGCTGGGAAAGATTGAAGGTCAAAGAAGACGGGGACGGCAAAGGATGAGACGGTTAGACAGTGTCATAGATGCAACGAACATGAAATTGAGCCAACTTCAGAGGACGGCGGAAGACAGGAGGGCCTGGCGAGATCTTGTCCATGGGGTCGCAAAGAGTCGGACTCAACTTGTGTGACTGAACAACGACAACGAGCTAGACTTGTTTTTAAGGCAAGAGACGTTTCAGAGGTGGTTTGCCATTGCCTGCCTCTGCATCGTGACCCTGGTATTCCTTGAAGGTCACCCATCCCAATACTAGCCAAGGTCGACCCTGCTTAGCTTCCGAGATCTGACGAGATCGGGCTAGCCTGGGCTATCCAGGTCAGGGCTTAAGTGGCTCTTTCTCCACTGGAAGAGCTGCTTAAGTTGGAGGAAGGCACCATAGTTTGGAAGAAACCTCCTTTGATTGGATGAAGGTCTTTCTCCAACTTAAGGCCAAGGCCTGTCTCAAACGTCAGCGGCTCTTCCTCCACTGGAAAAGCCACTTGCTGGAGGAAGCCTTCTTAGATTGGAAGAAGGCTTGAACCTTCAGCCAGAAAGAAAGGTGAGGCATAGATACTTTAAATAAATAAAATTTGATCCCTGGAGTGGTAGGATAGCGGTACAATCCACCCCACCACATGCAGGGAGAGACTCTTGCTATAATACTGCGACAGTGCTCCTTGCTACAAGTACATTTCATTGCTCTTAATAGTCAGTGTGTAACAATATACAGAATTAATGAAAACGATTATTACTGGTGAAAGCTGTTTATGTGCCATGGTGCCTGAGGGAGTCTATCTGACTCTAGAGAAGTGTTGTTTTCACAGGTAATTGTGTCATTCTCCCAGGACACACTCTCTAAGGCTACTGTATATCAACAGTTACACTAAAGCTGTGATTGACACATAACACCCATGCTTCCTTCCCATAGCCTAGCAGTGAAATTGCCGGACACTACTGCTAGACGTGGGTTCAACGTATAGAAAATCCTGATGTGGCACTTGTGGTAAACCTTCTGATAGACGCAGCAGCATTTTGAATACTACAACAATGCAGAAACGGGAACCGTTTCTGAAGCAAAGGAGACTGAGGCATAAATTTGTACTGAGCCCACAGTCAAGAGAAACATACGCTCTTCTACAAAGAAACCTTCCAAGAGCATTGGCAAATTAGGGGAAGCCAGTGTCAGTGACCCAGTCTTTCGCATATTCTAGAGTAAATTACCTCACAAAGAATATGTTCTAGCTGCTTTTTATATCTAGAAGCTCATCACAATGATAGTTCCTTTGGAAGAATAATGCCATGTGGTCTGAACCACAGAATGGGTGAAGACTTCCTGCCCTTTCACCAACCCTAAAAGGTATGTCTGTGAAGCCTTCCTTTTTCAATGGAAAGGGATCAATAGACACACAGAGGATTCCTTGATTACATTAAGGGACTGCCTTTCTGTTGTCCGTTTCCAGATGGATCCAGCCAATGGGACCAGAGTGCAGGAATTCATTTTGCTGGGATTTGGAGTCGGGCAGCAGAAGCGGTTCTGGCTGTTCATCTTCTTCACCATTCTCTACGTGGTCACTTTGGCTGAGAACGTCACCATCATCGTACTGGTGGTTCTAGATGCCCATCTGGCCCGCCTTCCTATGTACATCCTGCTGAGCAACTTCTCCTGGCTTGAGATGTGTTATGTGACTTCTACTGTGCCTCGGATGCTTTTTGACCTAGCATCTACCCAAGGGATCATCTCCTTCAGCGCCTGCTTCCTTCAATTTTATATCTTCTTCTCTCTCGGTGACACAGAATGTTTATTCCTCTCAGCCATGGCCTTGGACCGATACTTGGCCATTTGCCATCCACTGCGCTACCCACAGATTATGTCCCAAAATTTCTGCTACGCTCTGGTGGTAGCATGTTGGGTCCTTGGGTTCCTGTGGCATATTTTTCCAGTGGCCTTGATATCCAGGTTGTCCTTCTGTGGCCCAAATGTAATTGATCACTTTCTGTGTGATCCTGGGCCTATTTTGTCTTTGGCCTGCCCTCCAATCGAAAACTTTCCTCTCATTAGTCAAATTGTTGCAGATGCCCTAGTCATTCTGGGCAACTTCTTCTTCGTGGTGCTATCGTATGGTGCTGTAATTCTCACCCTGATGAAAACTTCTAGCCGAGGCAGTCGTAGGAAGGCTTTCTCTACCATATCTTTCCACTTGGTGGTGGTGATGATCTTCTACGGTCCCGTAGCAGGGATGTATGTGATTCCAGGTGGAGGGAGTGAGTCGGAAGTTGCTAAGTTAGTAACGGTGTTCTACACTGCTCTGACACCCTTTCTCAATCCCCTGATCTACAGTCTGAGGAACGATCAGGTGAAGGAGGCACTACGAAGGCTGAGAAAGAGAAGGATAAGATTATCGAGGAGAAGGGTGACAGGTTTAAAAGACAAATCAAAACCAGAGAGATGCTGTTGGGGATAGCTGGAGACTTCAGGTTGCACAGAGAGAGACCTGCTGGAATAAGGAAACAGGCCCATTTTATACCACTTACATTGGCTGCCATTTTGTTCCTGGGTACAATCCAAGGTGCCGGTTTTAATGTTGATAGCTCTTTATAACCAGATAGTCTCATGCTTGAAAGAACACTTCTAAAGACCCACTCACCAGCTCTATTCAGGTCAAAAATTATTTTTCTAAAATCCATCATATAATGTGATTTGCTTGTGTCCTCTTCAATCTGTGGCATTCTCACTTTGTGGAATGACCAACCTGATGGGGTATAAAAACTGTCCCCTTTGGTCATCTTCCACAAGATACGCACAGCAATTTCATCTCAGAAAGTTATTTCCAACCTTGCTGGAAATGGGATTTCAAAGAGCATGAAATTCTGGGCTAGTTTGGCACGAACAATCAAAGTTGTGGATTCTATGCACTCTTTGTGAAACTGTGTTTGTTTTAATATGATTTCTGTGTTCTTCTGGGGTTTTTTTTTTTACTGATCTGCTGGGTGCTCCAAGTGTTTTCAAAAACATGGTAAATGTATGTTAAATGTTTAAAAAAATATGTTTTCATCATTGGACAGTGACACAAGTACAATGACCCTGAACCTAGGGTTTTTTTTTTTACTGATCTGCTGGGTGTTCCAAGTGTTTTCAAAAACAAGCTAAATATATTTTAAATGTTTAAAAAGATATGTTTTCCTCTTTGGATAGGGACACAAGTACAATGCCCCTGAACCTGGATTCTTACAATCTAAGCCACTAAAAAGTTCAGGACAATAATGACCATCTTGCCACCTCACACACCTTCAAAAGGAAGCCATGGCCCTCAGTTTGCAAGGCTGCTAACAATAGGACATTTTGAAGGATGTTTTGGAGGAGAAGTTGGAAGTGATTTGAAGGCACTTAACACACACACACACACACACACTATATCATGCCTTCTGTGGTGGTAGGAAGAATAGCCTATGAGAGACAACTACCCTCCTCCAAATACTAACCAGGGCCAGTCCTGCTTAGCTCCCCAGATCTGACAAGGTCTGGATAGACTGGACAGTCCAGGTCATGGCAAGAACGACACATAATAAATAAAATAAAATAACATATCTATTTTAATATGTGTGGGGGGTTATGCCTACTTTGGGGGAGCCATCAACTTCATCATGTTTATTTATTTATTCCTTTTGGGGGAAAATTATGCTGCCTCTCCAGAAACCTGCCCAAGGAACCTTACAAAATAAAAGTAATAAAAACAAAATATGTGCAAAATAGACTGGAGCCGGCCCTGACCACGAAGGACTTCCTTGGTGGTCCCTCCTCCAAATACTAACCAGGGCCAGTCCTGCCTAGCTCCCCAGATCTATTACAACAAACAGGACCACGGTG